AGTGACGATGATGCCCATAGATAAGCAATGTAGTCTGGTGACTGAGGAAGTTTTCTTGAGCTGAGAAGATGAAAAGGACTTGCTTAGAAAGAGACAGGAAAAAACAAGTGCTGAGTATCTACCATATCAGTACTGGAAATGTTACATACATTACCTTGTTTCAGCTTCCCACACTGTATGCTATGTGTGGGGTTGGGAAGGTTGGTGAGGTGGGGACCACCAAGACAATGGAAGACCCTACTGAGCACTCAGGCACTGTGACAAATGTTGCAAACCTCACTTTATAGGTAACTCCTGCTAAGCAGATACACCTCTCTTGTTTTGCATTTGAGAAAACCAAGGCCCAGAGAGGTCTTTTAACTTGCCTGCGATGGCCGAGCTATTAATTATCATAACCAGGATTCCACTGGGCTCCAAATCCCAGACTGCAGAGAGCTGGAGACTCAGGCTGTGAAGCCAGATCTTTCTAAAGCCTGGATTGCCCTCACTCTCCTCATCCTCTCCCACTCACACTCCTGCACTTAGACCCTTGATCCTATTAATAAAGGGGTGGATTAACCTTCCCAAATGGTCCTGTGCTATTTAAAAGAAATTAGTCTTCTCTCCCAACTTCTGTCCCTCCCTTCCTGTTCCAGCCTGTAGGTAAATTGTTCCACTTACTCTTCTCAATAGGGAAATGACTGTTGGTTTTTTCTTCCCTTTCCTCTTTCTACTGAAAACAATACTATCATTTCATGGCAAAGGTCACTGAGTCTTTGGGTCAACCATCAGTTCACGGAGCATCGCAGCTTTATCTTAAGATGCTGGTTCCTTCTAGGCTGCCACTTTGCTGCTCCCAGAGTACATCCTACGCTTCAATTTTAGCATTTGTCGCTTTTTTCAGAAAGCTATTAGGTGGCACAGGGAGGGGTGACAGGAAGCCACCTTCTACCTCCAGCTGCTCTCTTGTTTGCATGCCTTTGGTTGCCCAACAACCACTGAGGTCCGGAAGCCCCTCAGGAAGGAGATGCAGCTGTTCCTGCCTCCCCAAAGCTGACACCAGCTTTATCCCTAATCCCTGGATGATTTTGAGCAGCTATACCTGGGGCTTCATGGAGTCTGACATAATGGGGAGGGACAGAAACGGGCTAGGTCCCAGTGGACCTACTCACAATGTGCTTTCCCACTGTTAAACACTGATAAAACAAAAATACTCTCTTGTAATCTCATCTAGGATTAAATCAGATTCAGGCAGTGCTGGGTTCGTGATGAACTCATTTCTATTAACAACTGAAGGTGACTAGTGAACAGCTGTCTTTTTTTTTTTTACCCACAAAATCTTTACTCTTCTTTTTTTCATTGAAATTATTTAATTTTTTTTTATTGCGGTAAAACACATAATATAAAATTTGCCCTTTTAACCATTTTAAGTGTACAGTTCAGTGATACTAATTATATTCACAACGTTGTGCAACCATCACGACTATCTATTTCCAAAAGCTTTTCATCACCCCAAACAGAAACTCTGTGCCTATTAAGCATTAACTCCCCACCCTCCACCACTCCATGCTAACCACTAATCTACTTTCTGTGTCTATG